TAAAAGTGTTCTTCATTAAATTTAAATGGACTCATTAATAAAATATTGAGGATGTACTACTTTAAGACATCAGGAAAAAAAATGTATAAATTGGCAATAATGCTATTTCTATTTTTAAATACATCCCACAGAGGCACCCAAGATAGATGAGAAGTGCTAAGCCCATCCCACAAGCTTATTTATTTATTTAATACTTCGTACATGCTATTTTTAACCGCAGAAGACAGCAAAAGGCATCCATTAGAAAAATTATATCAGTTAGAGTTTTCCTCACACAGGTTAGACAAGTGAAATATCTAGTTGAATGCAGCGTTAAGAAGAGGTGGTTTTTTCCCTCACTTTCTTATAGGTTTCTGGAATAAAAAAGCAATTTTATTTTTTGCAGCATCAGCTAGGCCAGAATTTGTATCTGCAAACCTCAGTCAGTCCCTACTCCCTCCCCAGCCCCCTCTTTCCACTCCTCCACTTCCCACAAGGTTTAATTTTGTAAGTAATACAGGGTTTTGAATACGTACACAACATGCTTACCACACAGGGGCAGTTAAAATGGAGATGTATGGGTTTGGTTTGGTTTTTTTAAGCCTCAGTTGTGCACATAGAAAAGAAGTGAGAGGAAATGCCATAGTCTCAGAGTATTGCATCATTTTGCAGAAGACATTCCTTCGGGAGAAGAAAAAATTTTAAATTTTCCATTTTTTCAACAGAGTTAAAGGAATTTATCTTAGTTGATGTTGGTTTTCCTTAGGGTTCAAGATTCCTTGGCGAGCTAAGAAATCAAAGGAAGAATGTCCCATCCCAAATACAAGTTTTCACGTACAAAAATGCCAGAGCTACACTGTCAAATTATTTACTTAGGGAAAAAAAAAAATCTTGACTTGATTTCTGCATGTCATCTTCCTAAATGATTGCTTTCTTTGGGGAAATACAGAGTTTTTTCATGCATAGCCTGAGCAGCAAATTTTCCCTTTTCCTCCCATTTGAAGGAACAAAGCCTGAACTCCAAGGTGGCATGGTGGTACTCCCTAGCAGTTTCTACCAGGGTTTCTGGTGGACCAGAAAACAAAATTGCACGTAGGCATTTAGGTGTTATTTCAGGAGGCTCTGCAAGCATTTAAGTCTCTCCTAACTTCGCTACAGAAGACACAGCCTGAACTGGATGTGTATTTGCTGCCAGGTAAACAGCTACAGACAATAAAAAGGGTATAAAAGATGAAATTCAGAGGTGACACAGGACCCTGCCATGCTCCAGATCCCAGCGCAGAGCCCAGGGCAGGGTGGAAGGACAGACAACCCCGCGCGGGGCACAGCACTGCTCAGCGGTTACATGGGTAAATCTAAGTGTTAGTATAAATCAGGTAAGCACAGGACTGGGTAGTTAATGCATGTGCAGCAGCTGGATTTCTTAACAGCTGTTTTCCCTTCTTTTAAATTTTGCATAAAGTGAGTTTTTATAAACAAAAACATGGAGGTTTTTGGTGTCACTCAGAACAAGGGCAGTTTGTTTTTTCTACCTGCCTGGAGATAAACTCAGTTTGCTGATAAGAGGCCTTACTGAGCCCATTAAGCGGAAGGCTTTTATTCATAATCTATTCATACATGGCACTAACAATGCTTGATGACTAATAAATACCTGAATCTCTAAAAGAAGTAGCTTTCTCTGTACTGGAAAGGTCACATTGTACAGAGCACTATGCAAGCAGCTGATGCACAAGAGAAGTGTCACCAGCAGAAAGTTGGATAAAAAGCAAGTAATGCAATTTTGTGTGTACAAAAATCACTACTAAACTTGAGATCCTGGATAGATATTCAAAATATTCTCTGTATTTGGAATCCGGCCTCAGGCCAGGCCTGGCTTGGGCAACAGAGCCTCTGATACAAGTTTGATTCCTGACTTATTTCTGAAATATTCTGAATATTCTGCACGTGGGCCTTAGAAAGCAGACTACAGTCTGCCAGTAGTAGGCAGGACCCCAAGTAAATTGTCTGCTGAAAAGCTAAATTTAAGAATTCACATACTTCTTCCCCCTTAAGTATTACATTCAATGACATTAAAAGAGCTAATTACCAGGGCACGCCATCCATCCTACATTCCTCAGACTGCCCAAAGAGAAGAAATGTGAGTTATCTGCCCAGTTTCAGATTTTTGCTTGCAACCAGAAACTGCTGGGACTTAAAGCCTTAAACTCTGAATAAGCTTAATAAGCAGTTATTCAAGAAACTAAGAAATGCTATTTTCAAAATTTGGGAGTGTCAAAATTATACATCACCCATGCCCTCTTCTCGTAAGCGAGGAGCACGGACACACAAGCGACTCCATCGCAGAACCCAAAGACACATTCTCCCAGGCAGACTGAAACTTTCCCACTTGAATAAAATCCTCCTCCACGATTACAAGTTGTTATGCCACTCTAACGAGAGGAAGCAGAGACCTAACATGTCAAACGGCTTCTTTGCATGACTTGATGCTATAAATTTAACATTTCCCCTGGAAGTACTGTTCATATGTACACTTGTGCAACATTTAAACTGAACACATAATCCAATGTTGTCAAAATAGCTCATTACCAGGGTCTCGTCAAATTCCATAACCACATTATACAAATAATATCCCTCTCACTGCAAAAGCACGCTCGTGATTCCACTTTTCATTTACTAAAATAATTCTATTTCTATCAGTCTTCTGTGTATGGTCACAGGCAGATTCTGACCCTCATTGCAGAGAGTGAGCATTCACACACTAAGAGACAATTCTTTACACCAAGCTAAAGTCTGATCTGGAGAGCAACTCATGTAAGCAGTAAGAGACCACAGTGGAAGGTAATCTATATTTTGTTAAACCTGTCCCATAGATAACATTGAGTTTTCCTGACCTCTACTATTTTTATTTTAGCAACTAAGCAAAACAATGCAGTGACTACCTTAGGTCTGCAAATACTCAATCTCTGAGATATTAATTATTTCCATTTATCTAAATGGGGACTTAAAATTATCAGTAACTTGTTATCAATTTTGCCAGACCGCTCTCACCTATATAATTCTCTGCAGCTCACAAGCTGCTTGAACACCCAGATGCTTCTGGGATATTTTCAGCAATGTAGATGTTTTGGAAGGACGAAAATCCAGCAACACTATCGATTTACCAGGAGAATATTCTGTTGTTTTCTGGACACAGAATAAATAGGCTATCTAAAGTACATTATTGATATATAAAATCAAGAAGCCTGGTAGGTAATTTAGGATTTCCAGATTCTGACCAGTTTTATGAACTAGTGCAAGGAAAGAAACATGGTATGACAAGCACAGGAGGAAAGAGGTTTTCTGATACCAGTTCCACACTAGACAACCTGACTTCTTTCTCTATCTTTTGATAAGATATAGCAGGGAAATTATTGTTCTCTCTCCAATGGATTGGGCCTAGAATGTATACAGACTTCCAACAGGTCTGTCAAAGAGAAGACCTGAGATCTCCTTGGCATTGGCAGGTTCTGGAAATAATTGACAAATTTCTCTTTAAAACTACAGAAATCATTTCCGTAGGTGTAACTGCCCTTGACAAAAACCTCACTCATTATCAGTCAAACCAGCAAAACACAAATCTTGAAAACAAACAATGACCTGGAGGACCACAAAAGATCGCCCATGAATTATGGAAAAGCCGGGTCATGTTGCAGCACTGGAAGGTTCCACCTCTCAGCGATGCTGCAGAGATCCTGACTGCTGAACAGGAGAGGGGAAAACAACACACTGAGCCTCAACAACTAGTAATGTTTCACACTTCAGTATGGGAAAAGACAGACAGATCCCCAAATCCACCTGTTCCAAACTAAGCACGTGATCAACTGTGACTTCTTAAGGAAATCAAGATCCTAAACACCACCAATAAAAGAAAAAGAAAAAAAAAAAAGTAATATGAGTAGTCAATCTCATGAAGACTAGTTACAAAAAAAGCAAAGTACACAATCTTCCACATCATTTTCTCTTCCCGGGAGACCCTAATCAGCACGTATATGTCTTTCATACAGCATCCAGCTCCACGTGTCTGGAACAAGTTCATTACTCGATGCAAGCCTCTTCATGCCCCTTCTGGAAGGGAGGACGCCAAGCAGAGCCTACCCAGAACACGTGCCTGCTTCAGTTCAGTGTGTTTTGTTAGGGGTTGGTGGTGGGTTATTTTGGTGTGGGTTGTTTTGGTTGTGATTTGTTTTGGCTTTTTTTATTTCATCCTGATTCTTTCAGGTTACTGAAGCTACAAATCCATTCAAATTTTATTTTTTTTTTTAAATGCAGAACTTGAACTGTTTCTCTTGGGAATAAAGGGGAGTGATTCATTTCAGAGGGTGGAGTGAGGGAGAACAGTGCTTGAAAAAAATCGGAGTTCAGAAAAACAGAGTGAAAGGGAAAGCACCTGAAATAAGTGCTTACAATTTATCTTGGACAAGACCTTACAGCAGATTGCCAGCACCAAGTTTTTGGGAAAGTTTTTCATACTCTTCAGAAAAGAAATTAAAAACAAAACAAAAACAAAAAACAAAAAACCCCACAACAAGTAAACAAAAAACAAACAAAAAGCCCCACAACAAAGCAATTCAAGTGCTAAAGAAACCTGTTAAGATCAGGGGGAAGAAAAAAAAAAAATCTACTCCCTTACAAAGGGAGGCTGGAAAAAAATTAACAAAACTGTACCTTTGAGCATGCAGGTGTTCCAAGAGATTACACAAAGTCACAAATGTTGCCTACAGAGATCAGACTTAAATTGTGTATTACACCATGTATCTGATCATACATTCAAATTTAGGTAACGATAAAAAGGTTGCTTTTCTTGATCCCTCTACACACTGATGTAATTTTGCTCTGAAACACCAAATAGGAAGACATTGTGCATCCTGAAATACAAGTATTTAAAACTATTGCATATATGTCTCAATTGATTTTCAGGTTAAAAAAACATTTGCCTTAAACTACTGTGACACTTAGGCCACATCCATCTTAGATGAACCTACCATGTGGTAGTGTTATATTTGCACCATCAATGATTGCTTGTGCCAGTTCGTGATCATTGCTCTCAAAAGCATGTGCAGCAGCCTTGAGGGCATCCCAAATCTCCTTGCGACCTTCGAAAGCTGGTGCTGTGTCCCAAAACTCGTCTCTCTTACTGCGCAACTGTCCGTCTGTCATGGGGTAATCACTTTTCCATTTCGGTTTCTCTTTTCTCAAGGGCTGATTACGACCGAGAGCAACTGTGAAGGAGAAAGAGGAAGGGAAGTTAAAAAACGGTAAAAGCACAAAATTACTGAAGTGCCCTTTATTCTGTTAAGGATCTAGAGCTAAAGTTTACTTTCGTTCAATCCTGATCCTTTTTTTCCATCTCCTCTGAGGCATCACCCCTTGAAAAGTTGAGGGGATACCTCCTGCTTGCTGATTTCACCTGCACCCCCGAGCACCCTACAACTTCTCCCCAAGCTCCCCGGTAACTCCACATCCCTCCGCCTGTGCCGTGTGCGCCTGGCTGGGAGACTCACACCCGACACAAACATCTTCCAAAGGCTGTAGCAGCGGTACAGCGAGACGTGTGTTATCCCAACACCGGGGTGCAGGGAGACCAGAACATATCTGGATCTCTGTTCTATGCTGCTAGTGACGCTCTCTGCTCAACAAACGTGACACTCTGTTAATACAAGAGTTTTAAGAGGCTAAAGATTTTTTTTTTTTAATCACCTCCTTTTAAATAGTTTTAATTCAGAGTAAGTATATGTAGAAAGGCAAGTAAGATCCACAAAGGCTAGAATTGTCGGAGACAGAAATCCCTAAAGAATAATCCAGGAATCCATCAAGCTTTAAAAAGCGGTTACCTCATTCACAATAAACACAAAAGCATTTGTTTCATTTTAACTACAGCTATTTTTGTGTAATAGCCAGTTAAGATAATCACATAGGTATAATGTTGGTGGATTAAACTACCTGCTCACTTTAAATTACAGCACTGCTAAGACTGTGCTAAACCCTTCTCTTCCATTTGTGTGAGTAAGGGGTTATTTCAACTTCTGTTGAAAGGAAAAAGAGAAAGAAGGGAGCAAACTTCAGTGCACACCGGGAAGAATTCCTCCCTGCAAGTTAAACCTCCATTTCCTTCAGACCCCTCCTGGCAGCAAGAAGCTCGCTGCACCGGGACCCCGCGAGGACAGTACGGGGAAGAGAGCGGTGACAAACCACAAAAACGGTTCTCACCACGGCTCAATACCGCAAAACCTTGAATACATAGTTTAAATGTCTCCAGAGGAAATCAAGTGTCCTTCAACAGCTAAACTAAAGTTAAGCGTGTTTGCAGCTGAAAATAAGCAGCCCCTCCATGGGACAGTTCAGAGAAACTGGGTGACGAGTGCTGAAGGCTCTTGAAAGACAGGTAAGCTACACAGGACTGAAGTCAATTAAGGATCCCACCATGTATGATGCTGGAGAGCCATCCCCACGCCCTCCGTGAAGAGCCCTTGCCGTCCCAAGAGAGCAGAGGAATCCCAGCTGCCATCAGGCCACGGAAGCATGGAGAGACGCAGTCTGTCACCCCACGTCCACATTACCAAGGCTGAAATATCTCTTACAAGAACAAGACACCACAGCTGCTGCGATATCAAAGCCTGCAGAGCAAAGCTGCTGCTTATCAGATGCTCCTGGCTAGTCTGCAAGGATGGGAGAGCACCAGGACAAACACAAGGGTCTACATTTAGCACTCTGTATCCCATGTACATCCTTAGAGATAATAAGAAACATTTCCTTTCTCCAGACCCTCTTATTTTTCTGGCAAAAAGTTGACAATAGCTGACAAAAAACCTTGTATCTCTCCTCAATCTTACTCCAGCATTCAGAAGAATAGTGTAATGTCTAAATATTCCTTATAGTTCTTAATCTAGACTTATGCTGTATCTCTGCAGTTAACTACAAACCATATTTATAGCAAAGAGGGGGGGGGCGGTGAGGGACATGACTGAGAAGACTAAGTGTCAATATGTCAGAAATACTCATTTCAGGTAAGCTGTAACATTTTGCAAAAATAGTATTTAATCCAAATATTCCCTCTCCTTCCTTGATTTTTTTTCTGCCACAGATGCACTCAGCTGTTTTCAGAACAGCACTCAACACCTAGCATTGGGTCTCAGTGTTGACCATCAGTGCCTGGTGTTGCAGCAGGCATTTCAACTTCACACAGGCTTTAAGGAGACCAAAACACATACACGAGGTTAAACCTTGTGCCCTATACAATCTGACTTTATATGACCAAAGAACTACCTACTTCAGTTCATAACTGAGAATGACATTCACACTTAAGAAGCTGAGACTTAAGTCATTGAAAATAGGATATTTAAAAGAAGTCCTCATGGTAAGGTGACATTGCCAACTATGTGAAGGCACGAGCCTTCTTCAGATTAAAAAAACATAGTAGAAGATATATTTGCATGCAAACAAAGTCAGACCTTAATTAAAAGTAGCAAATGACAATTGCATGGCACACATGCAATGACTCCAGCTGTTATTCTGTATCCCATGCAGAAACTAACAATAATAAACTTCTGAATCCTTTCAAGTGACCACAAACATTTATTGCTTTTTGTTTCCATGGGATTGCTTCCATGAGATTGCTTCCATTTGATTTTCAAAGAAGTGCTGACCGTTTAACAGATTTCAGAACAGCAAACCCAAGTGTTTACAAAACACCAAGTTTCCTGGCAAAGCCCAGCCGTTACCAGTCCAAGTCTCAGCTGAGCACACACAAGCTTGGAGCCGATGATGGTCCAGCCTAGAACAATGGTGAAGGAGGCAGCCCAGCCAAGATGGACTGCATGCATTGAACAGTATATTACGAAACTGTAAAAACGTATGTGGTAAAACACTTAAACAAGGAATTGTTTCCTTATTAAGGCTTAGCAGTCAGAGCATGAAAATTTCAGACAGACAGACTGAACAGGACACCGTAAGAAATTTGGGTCAGTGGGCATCTTTTCTTCTATTCTACTTCAGCTAACATCTGTTTGCATGTACATTCAATGAATGCTAACTTATCCCACAGGGCCCCCTCCTTCTCCCCAAACATTAATTATGAAAGCGGGCCAAAGGCACTTCCCGCAGTCCCCGAGCACGGCGGCGTTTCCTGCACACAGCCCTGCCTGCCTGTTATCCAGCACCACCGCAGAAACTGCAACAGGCCACTTCTCTCCCTTGCTTCCCCCTTTGCCTAAGACAGCATCCGAATATACTGCTCTTCACTAGACTAGAATAGCAGGGGAGAGACTAAAAAGACAGAGATCCTAACAGTCTCAAATAACTTCTCCCTAGAGATACAATCCTTCCTACACAGACAGGAGTGATGATAAACCCAGTGATAATTTCTTTTTTCAAGTTGGGAAGGAGGCTAGTGGAAGAAAGTGACTCTACAAATGCCTCTAAAGCCAAATGCACTCTAACAAGCCATCCATCCCAGTACTAAGCCTTTAAACACAACTTGGCTTCACAAGCCAGTATTTAAAAAGGTCTTTAGCACTGTTTACCATTTATTAGAAGTGTTTCAAGAATCCCCTAGAAGCTTTATGCCCCCCACCCCAAAGAAATATTAATCTCTCTTTAGCTGTGTGGATAGATAGAGCAGAAGGGATACAAAAAACTTATGACATGTAAAAAACCTAATGTGTAAAAGGGCCCAAATCTCTTACTTTCCCCCTCATGTTTTAGTCACTAAAGAGAAACATCACTACATGAATTTCTACAGTCAAAGTTTTGGACCACATCAGAGGACTTTCCCTTTTATGTAATAAGGCTGATAAAGACTAGTCAGAATAGGCAATGAAACAAACATCAGCAGTCTGAAAACACTTTGTCAGGTATTTACAGTGTCAGTTTTATACTCCTCACTTCGGAAGTAAACTAGAACTCAAAAGAAAATGTTGACTACATTTAAGGCCACGCACATCAGAGGCAGAGGCACAAGCAGCTTGCAAGATCTGGAAGAGAAAGTAACATCCACATCAATTTTTCATCTTACATCACTTCCATGTAAGTAAGAAATTATTAATATCCTGCTTGAAAATATGAATAGTTTTATAAATGCCAAAAAAGGCATGTTCTCTCTGAAGCAATACTGAAAGTTGCATCTCAATAGATGGCAATGGTTGATATTTTTGGCAAGATTTATTTAGAATGAAATCTGAAGACCATTAACAGTCTACTTTTCAAAAATAAAAAAACTGGCACATTAGTGACACTTCAAAATAATTCAGGCTGTTCTTGCTCCAATAGCTCACAGATATTCAGGTGGTGCTGTGCATCCCAAAAGAGGGATAAGAAGTTGCTGACAACCTGCAGGATCTTCCTTGAGAGCAGCCTTTCTCAGGGAGGAGCAACTATACAGGCCTTACAAAGGATTTTTCCAGGCTAGTCAGAGGGGTTACTGTGAAGAAATTACAGATGTTTTTTATCCTCCTGGATACTGGACCTGTTCTAGCCAGAGAGTTGCCTTAAAGATGCCTTCTGCACCGTTTCTGTTCCCCTCCAGTCTGGATTGCACCTACTACTTGCATGGTACGCAGAGCACAAGCTCCAAACATCATTTTTAGGACTTGCTAAGGTCCATTCAGATTAACAGCAGCAGAAGCAATAGCTAAGAAGGTAAGAAGTCCTGATAATTACTAGCTGCATAATGAACTTTCTAGGGCTCAGCATGCTTAAGAAAAGAAACCCAAACCTATCTAGTTAGGCACTCCGGGATACAACACGAGGCCGGGGCAAGAGAGGGGATCGCAGTGATGTGCAGCAGGCTGGAGAAGGAGGCGAGGAGAGAGGCAAGTCTCATCCGAACTCAGCATCCACCCGTCCAGCATGTCTGCCATGCGGGTGTCCCTACACATTTGAAATCCAAGCATTGAGCCAGCCCCCTTCTCTAGTTAAGAGTTCCTTATTAGACTGCTTAATACCTCAAAGGGACCTAAAAACAGCGGCAGACAAGCAGTTGGCTCTTTCTGTCCCGTCAGTAGGATTTAGCAGCATATAGTGTGTTTTCCCTTCACAGGTAGGGAAGTACCCCAGGATCCTCAACGGAGCTACTACTGTCTGCCCCACTAACCTTAGCTCCTGGCAAACTAAGTCTTGTTTTTCAGAAGGAAAAATGTATTTCTCCAGTCCTTGCAGATTATTTTATAACCGAATTATGAAGGTTTGTTTCCCTTCCCCGCAGCTTCCCATCAAAG